TTGTGGAAGATAAGATCCATTTGACCAAGATGACTTAGAACACTACTCCAAGATGACAGCTGAATGTGGAGAACAAGTACAAATTGTGGAAGATACAACAACCATAGGTTAATGCTTTGGATATGGTATTTTGTAATTATAGGTTATAATGTTATAAATATGGTATTTTGTATGGATATAGTAGGAATCAAGATTGGTAAACAATGTAATTACAATTGAATCTTCAAGTTTTATGAAAGAAATAATTTTTTAGGATATCTAAAATGAAATTAGTACATCATTTTTACAGATAATAAACGGCGATTTTTTGGAACAAAACCGTCTTTTTTAGATTTAATAGACGTCTTTGGATATAATAAAACGACGGTTTTTTCAGAAAAAGTGTCGTCTTTACATTAAATAGACGACGGTTTTTTCAGAAAAAGTGTCATCTTTACATTTAAATAGACGACGGTTTTTTCAGAAAAAGTGTCGTCTTTATATTTAATACACGACGTTTCTATAAAAAAAAGTGTCGTCTTTACATTCAATAACGACGGTTTTTTCAGAAAAAGTGTCGTCTTTACATGTAATAGACGACGGTTTTTTTAGAAAAAGTGTCGTCTTTACATATAATAGACGACGGTGAATTACCGTCGTAGTTTGACTTTCAAAAAGACGACTGTCGATTTAACGACGGTTTGAAAAAGAAAAAGACGACGGCGTTTCCCCGTCGTCTATTTCAATTTTTATAGTAGTGTTTGGGGGCTTGACTGGGTTGGTAGCCTACCATATTTTGGGGAGCTTGACTTTAGGATAGTTGCATTCTTTCCACATGGGCTTTTATGCCTTGTATATATATACCTCCTTGTATGGAAACAAATCACCATGAATGAAACTCTTGAAACCAGAAAATCTCTACACTTTGTTTGGCATGGTATCAGAGTTGCCTCTGCATAACCTTGTTCTTACCTTGTTTTTATTTTATTTTTAACTTTGCTCTTACCTTATTCTTGCCTTACCTTATCTCTACTTAACCTTGCTCCTACTTTGTTGCTACATTGTTCCTATCTCTACCTTTGCCTTTGCTTTGATCATATCATTTCCTTTGCTTATCCTTGCCTTTACTTTACCTTTGCTTAATACTTTCCCTTGCCTTGCTTTACCTATATTGTTCCAACACAAAACTTGTATTGTGTTCCTTTGGTTGTTTTACCATTCCACTGCATCTACTTATCCCTACCTATCTCATACTTTTCCTTGCCTTGAAATTGATTGTGATCACAATCCTAATTTGTGCTCTTGTTTGCTGAAGTTTTAAGCTATCTTAAGCTATCTTCCACTACATCTCCTTGCCTTGCCTTGCCTTTGCATAACCTTATTCTTATTTTACCTTTGCTTAAACCTTGCCCCTTGATTGCCTTGTTTTGCTGTGCTATTGGTTGCTATTGTCAACAGCCTTCTTCGTTTCTGCTGTGCACATGCTGTGTTCTTGAAATCTTCCGCTGCATTTACGTATCCATACTTTCACACAAGACCCACAACATGACACCCAAGACTGCTTGTGTCATGACTACAGGCGAGTCTCCATCTCCTGCCTTACTTTGCAACTCCAACAATGACTCAGGTACACTCTCTACTACATGGATAATTGATACTAGTGCCACTGATCATATGACTTTTGACTCCACTGCTTTTTCCACATTATCTCCTAAGTCTCGTTACCCTTACATCACTAGTGCTAATGGGGCTCCTTCTAATGTTGTTGGAGAAGGGACTATACCACTTTCCCCTTCTTTATCCTTACCTCATACACTGCTTGTTCCCTCTCTTAAATGCAATTTGTTGTCTATTGAGAAGTTACTTGACTCACATAATTGATATGCCACATTCTATCCTTCTCATTGTAAGTTTCAGGACCTTATGACTCATGACACGATTGGGCATGGTAAACGGAGAGGGGCGTTGTATACCTTGACGGTCTCATCACCATCGCGAATTGCTCAGGTTCAAAACTCATGTGCTCAACAACAGATTTGGCTATAGCATCGTCACTTAGGACATCCATCGTTTGGCTATCTTCGACGGTTGTTTCTATCTTTATTCTAAGGATTAGTTGATTCTCAGTTTCAGTGTGAAACCTGTGTGTTGGCCAAGAGCCATTGCACTGTATTTCCCTCAAATGATAGTAAAACAGAATTCCCTTTTGAGTTGATTCACTCCGATGTTTGGGGCCCTACTAAAGTCACTCCTACTGGCAAGAGGTGGTTTGTTACATTTATAGATGACAGTACCCGCATGACATGGGTATATTTGCTCGCCCATAAAAGTGATGTTACCACCACAATCTGAGAATTTCATGCAATGATCACCGCTCAGTTCCAAGCTTCCATTAAAGTGTTTCTGTCCGATAATGATGGGGAATATGTGAATGGTATATTGGCTTAATTCTTCCTGAACCAAGGCATCATCCATCAAACCTCCACTCCTTTCACTCCACAACAAAATGGTGTTGCCGAACGAAAGAATCTTCAGTCACTTGAGGTTGCACATGCCTGCATGCTTGACAAATCAGTCCCTCACTACTTACGAGGTCATGCTATTCTCTCCGCAGTTTATGTGATTAATCGGGTTCCTAGAAGTGTTTTGGATTTCCAAACCCCACTAGAAACCTTGGCTCATCACATCTTTCTTCCTATCGTCCTCAAGTTGCCTCCTCGTGTGTTCAGTTGTGTTGTTTATGGTCATGTTCCTTCTCATCAACAAAGTAAGTTGGATCCATGTGCCCTTCAATGTGTGTTCGTTGGATATGGTTTGAATCAAAAAGGTTATAAGTGTTACCATCCTCCTACTCAAAAGCTCTTTGTAACTATGGATGCCACTTTTCATGAAGATTTGGCCTACTTTGTGGTTTCCAAGACCCCTTCTCTTCAGGAGGAGAGGGGGAGTGAAGAGAAGGACTTGTCATTTGAAGAGAAGATTGAAGAAAATACTGAAAAAACTGGAGAAAAGCCCCAGGCTACCGGTCATTTTTACATAGATTTGAAGACACTCGAAAAGAGTCCCAGGCGACTGGTCGCCAAGACAGGTCGTTTTTAGATAGAGTCGAAGAAGCTGAAGAATTGTCCCAGGCTACAGGTCGCGAAGAACCCAGCGATCGGTCGTTTTCAGACAATGACGAAAATTCTGGAGAAATTCTTGTTCTATTCAGTCCTGACCTCAGTGAAGACCTTGAGACCATGAAACTAGAAGGTGATCCAGATGCCCCTGATGACTTACAAAATACAACCCCTCTTGCCCTGCCATTGCATCATTCGTCTAGTGATGAAGAAGTAATTGAGGTAATCACTGAACCACCTAATGTTGCACCATATACACTTCCACCTAGATCCACTAGGGGAAAACCTAAACCTCAATATTGCCCTGGCCTTAATGCTAAATCTAAATATCCCATCAATAACCATGTGTCCACTCATAGATTGTCAAAGTCATATACATCATTTGTCAATCAATTATCTACTGTATGTGTTCCAAGTAAGTGGCAGGATACTCTGACATATTCCAAATGGACTAAAGCAATGGCAATTGAAATGGAAGCTTTGAAGAAGAATTCTACGTGGGAAATGGTTCTTTTACCACATAGGAAGAAACCAGTTGGATGTTGGGGGATATACACTGTTAAATACAAAGCTGATGGATCCATAGACTGATACAAAGCTTGATTAGTGGCCAAGGGGTATACACAAACATATGGAATTGACTACCAGGAGACATTTGCACCAGTTGCCAAGATGAACACTGTACGTGTTCTCATATCCTTGGCTGCGAATCTTGACTGGCCATTACTGCAGTATGATGTAAAGAATGCCTTTCTTCACGGGGACTTACAAGAATAAGTATATATGGATCCACCACCAGGGATTCCTATGACATCCGGTCCCAATACCGTATGCAAACTGAGAAAATCTTTTTATGGGCTAAAGCAATCACCCAGAGCCTGGTTTGGGAGATTTACTAATTCCATGAACAGGTTCTAAGAAGAGGTTTGGGTACATTCAGAGTAACTCTGATCACACATTGTTCTTAAAGCGTCGTGGTGGAAAACTTACTGCCCTGATCATCTATGTAGATGATATGGTGGTTACTGGTAATGACAATGAGGAGATGCAGACTTTACGGAAGCTCCTTGCAAGTGAATTTGAGATGATGGAACTTGGTGAGTTACAATATTTTCTTGGCATAGAGGTTGCTAGATCTAAACATGGCATATTTCTATCCTAAAGAAAATATGTGTTAGATTTGTTGACAGAAGAAAACATTCGTAAAGTACTGGACAAAGAAGAATTGGCAGAATTGTTGATGCATGGAGCTGTATCAACAAGGCGAGGAGAATGCATTGGATTTGCACAGCTGATAAAAATTATAGGAACTTCACGTATCGCTAGACTATGCAGTTCTTCAATAGATGTGTCAGTATATCGACCATAGACGAAAGGATTTCTATCACTAAGGTTGAAGGAGGTTAGAGAGTAACGTGGGTTGGAGAAGTATTTGTCTTTCTTGTGAACACCAGCATCCACAACTCGGATTGTCCAGTCACTATAATTGATCGCCTTTACTGTTGCGTCGATTCAGCTGCACCAAAATGGATTCAGCTGCATCCTCAACTTGTGATACTCGCAAGTGCACGAGCCGTTCGGTAGTATAACATATGTAAGTGCGAGGTCGATTCCACAGGGATTGGTGATTGAATAATCCAATTCAATTTTCCTACACAAAACAGAAGAACAAGAAAGAAAATAAATAAAAGAAGAAAGAAAGAAAAAAAAAACTCAAGTAGATAAGTTCCCAAGTTCAATTAGATTAACGGATTGATTCTAGCTAAAGTATGATTAAGCCATGGTGTTTGGTCCTAACCTTGTGTTCCTAATTCCCTAATTTGATCATTTGTTGTCTAACCTAAAATTAAGCATTAGGAACCCATTAAGCATAGAAGAACATTTTAAACAACCAAGTATGTATCTAATCCCTGTTGTCGAATGTCCATACATACTCTTCCTAT